TCCACACGCGGCCAAACGGAAGCAACGTGGCCACACTTTGTTTTCTTTGGAGCGGGGACACGTCAGCTCGGTCGCTGTGGTCCCCAGAGCCGGGCTGCTGGGACGGGACGCTGCTGGCTGGGGAGGAAGAGCTGCCTCAGAGCCTTCCTCCCCTGCAGCGGCGCGGAGCCCAGAGCCCTCGGCTCAGCCTCGCGGCCCCGTTTTCCTGTGCGGTCTGAGGAAGCTTTGAATTTAATGTGGGGTTTAAAATGTCGTGGTTTAAGGGTGGCTTAAATTTGGCAGTCGTCAGAAGGAAGGTTTGGTATGTACGTGTCTGTCTGAAACGTCACGCGGCCAGGGAAATTCTTGGGGGGGTGAGAGCTCAGGAGATGGATTTCTTCTTACGCCGTGGGCTGGCCTTACAGCTACCTCTGAACTGCAAAAAGGATTATTACACTCCTTTAGCCCTTCCAGGGGTCCAATAAAATAAGTGAAGAACGTGCCTGTTCTGCAGGCAGCGGGGCTGTTGCTTGCTGCTGATCACCTTGAGATCAATTTTCTGATTCATTAATGAAATGGAAGATGTGAAAAATGTTAATTTTCCAAATAGAATAGGTACTTAGGAGCTACCAAAAGCCTTTTTTAGTCAACAATGTACAAAATTTGGGGGGCTGGACTAGATGACCCACAGCGGTCCCTTCCAACCCTGAACATTCTGTGATTCTGTGAAAATATTTTACGTAGCAGCCATAGGTTTGCAAGTACAAACAGGTTGATAAGTTCCAGTAAATCTGTTAGATTGGTGGTTTTTAACTGGGAGGTCAGTGTGAGAAGGCAATCATTACTAAACCACTATTTTCAGTGGAAAGCAGCCCTGCTGAGCACAGCACCAGGATCATGGGATGAATCATAGAATGCAATATATAATACTAGATAATATGCAATAGCCTGAGAGCGGTTGGGCACGGAGCTGGTGACCGAAATGGCCGCTTGACCGGCACTGGGCGCTTGCCCCAACGCAGCGTAAAGGAAAATATCCGTGATGCTGTGGTTTAAAAGTTAAAGCGTTTCTGTTCAGGGCTGTGAGGATGAGGAGGGGATTGGAGCATCTCTCCTGCGAGGAGAGGCTGAGGGAGCTGGGCTTGTTCAGCCTGGAGAAGAGAAGGCTGCGAGGGGACCTTCGAAATGCCTCTAAATATCTGCAGGGTGGGGGTCAGGAGGACGGGGCCAGACTCTTTGCAGTGGTGCCCAGCGACAGGACAAGGGGCAACGGGCACAAACTGAAGCCTGGGAAGTTCCAGCTGAACCCGAGGAAGAACTTCTTCCCTCTGAGGGTGACGGAGCCCTGGCCCAGGCTGCCCAGGGAGGCTGTGGAGTCTCCTTCTCTGGAGATATTCCAGCCCCGCCTGGCCGCGGTGCTGTGCCCCCTGCTCTGGGTGACCCTGCTTGGGCAGGGGGTTGGGCTGGGTGACCCACAGAGGTCCCTGCCCACCCTGACCGTGCTGGGATTCTGTCAGCCTCTGGCCTCTGTGAGCATTAGCTGCGGGGAGGTGATGGAGGGCGGCTGGTGGAAGGGATGATGTTTGTTCGGGTTTCTTTGGGAGAATTTGGTGTTGGTGAGCGTGGATACACCTTTCTCCTTTCTCCTCCCACCCTGGCCGTGCGCGTGGTGCAGAGAGCTGTCGAGCCGGTTGGCTGTAGGGCCCTGGTAGAGCAGGAGCCTGCAGTGAGACTGTCCTTGGGAGCGGTGGTGGAATTCTGGCCTCTCTGAACAGAGAAGGTTTGTCCACCTGCTCCTCAGACCTCTCATCTGCAAGCCAAGAACCACAGCTTGAGCTTATTTGAAGCCCAGGGTGGTTGGTGACCATGATGACCACAAATCTGGGGAACATTTCAGATCAGAAGCTTTAGGACTGGAGTTAGCCTTGATCTTGTGCAGATCCGATCATTTCCTGTAAGGGGACATGAAGGAGCGTGGCAGTTGTGGACCAGCCACGTCGTAGTCTTGCTGAGCTCCACTTCACCTTCTCTGAAGGCAGAATCCTGTTCTGAGACCTCCAGAATGCCTTGTGTGTTAGCGGTCGCGTCGGCGGAGGCTGATGGTCAGCGGTGCTGGAGACCAGCTGTGGCTTCAGGTGGGGTGGAAGGGGTGGAAGGGAGACGGTGGGTAACGGCGCGTCTGGGGCGGGCGGGCGCTCATCTGGCCCTTCACCTCCTTCCCCAAGTGCTGGGTCTGAGGTGGAACGGTGGGAACAGCCGGATGGGGCTGATCATCCGCTCTGTTCCTGGCAAGTGGAGGAGATGGCCTTCATTATTGAATAAAAGAAAAGGCACTAAAAGAAATGGCGTGAGAACATCTGGTTCCTGAGGCTGGCTTTGGGCAGCCACTGCGTTGAAACCAACGGGAGGTGGGCTGGGTGCAGGACACGGGTAGCTGCAAGAAGCAGCAAGTGACTGTTGGGGGTTTCTGAGCAAAGGGGCAGCAAGGAACAAGCGTGGGGTGAAACCTCTCCATTCAGAGGAGAAGAAGGCTCATCTCCAAGCAGGAAGGTAACCGCAGCGTCCCTGCATGGTTCTGGTGGTAGCCAACTGCTCAAAGGTTCCTGTGGGAAGGGTTGGAGTGCGTGTGAGTACTCGCTCATAGAGGCAGAAAGGATGTAATATGACATGGAGACCACGCACCTTATACCCAAACCCAACCCTTTTTTTAAGAAAAAAGTTAGGTGGGACTTGTCAACTGATTTTTACCTTCTAAATGTTGGACGATGAGCTTTGTGAAAGACTAGAAGAGTGTGATGTTTGTGCCAGCTTTCTAGAAGAGCCTGTAGAGGAGGGCACGTAACTATAGATGGGTAAACATGAGAAAAAAAAAATTAAAAATGAATAAAAAGATAAATCAAGAAATTAAACAATGGAATCAGTTGAGCAGGAGCAGCGTAGGTGCCAGACCAGCACCGCTTTCATAAGGATAGATCCTGCCAAGGCTTCATTCCTTGGGGAGCTTCCAACACACAGCTCTGCCTGGACTTCTGTAAAATGCCCGGCTCGACATTGATATTCTGCTCTGATACAGCTTCGAAGGAGAACGTGCTCGGTCGGCTCCAGGGCAGGTACGTGGCAGAGCTCTCCTCGCTGCCCCAGGGCTCCATGGGCCTGAGAACGCTTCGGTGCGGTCCGTGCTGTTGGACGTGCTGTCAGTGAGCTGGAAAGGCGTATGAAATCACCCCAGTAACCTCCTGGATGCAGTGGTGGGAGGGATGAGGACGCGTCGCGATGGGAGGAGGACAGGCACATCGTGTATACTGCCAGGTACAGCTGGCCCCGTATGAAACAGATCTGCAGGCGGGTCGTGCACAGTGCTTGCAGGCAGGAATGGCATCTGGGAGCCAAGCCTGGAGAGAGTCCAGCGCAGGGCTGCGAGGATGAGGAGGGGACTGGAGCATCTCTCCTACGAGGAGAGGCTGAGGGAGCTGGGCTTGTTCAGGCTGGAGAAGAGAAGGCTGAGAGGGGACCTTCGAAATGCCTCTAAATATCTGCAGGGTGGGGGTCAGGAGGATGGGGCCAGACTCTTTGCAGTGGTGCCCAGTGACAGGACAAGGGGCACCGGGCACAAACTGAAGCCTGGGAAGCTCCAGCTGAACCCGAGGAAGAACTTCTTCCCTCTGAGGGTGACGGAGCCCTGGCCCAGGCTGCCCAGAGGGGCTGTGGAGTCTCCTTCTCTGGAGATAT